CCCACTGTGCCTTTGTTCTCTTTTAGACCAATCAAGTCTTCGTGATCATGGGGTCCACCTAGTCTACTGTTTACCAAACCAATGTATGTAATAAAAATTTAAAAGAAATTGAAGACTCGAGAGTTCTCAGTCCACACCAGTACGTCACCGCCTTTAGGTCAAACCTAATGTCGAATAGACAACAACAATGATAATCCAAACGGTGGAGTTGGGTACAAATGAGGAAAATGTGGAGACACCCAGGGCACCATGTCGATGGTTGCCCTATTCCCCAGCCTGGGTTATATAGCCGCTCTTTTTTCCACCTCTCTTTGTTCATGCTCATCCATAATATTTTTTCACTTACTTACTGCTGAACAGAACCCACTGAAGTCTTCGCTTCGTGTCAGATCGTCTTCGTCAACCGACAGTAACCGACTGCGAAAACCTCGTCGTAGTGTCTCGTTTGCGCCGATGATCGGTAGGTCTTTTTCGCTTTCCCTGCTTAAGTATCGTTCCCATTCCATCTTTTTTTGGTAATTTATGCCAGTGTGTTCTGCATTTCGTTAGACCTTATGAATGTCCGAAGAAACTCCCTGGTCCAATTAGCTGCCTGCCACTGTGTGGCCACACTCATTCATGTGTGTTTGCAATGTTAGTGGTGTCATCACCGCCTGATACCCAATTTCAGCTATCAGTCGTCGGTAATAAAATAATCACAATTCATAACAAAGCTTGCAACATCATGACTCTCAGGTATATAATGCAAAAGACATTGACAAAATGCAGTGTTCTTGGAACGGGAAATCCAAGATAATAAATTGAAAACAACTAGCTATTCTTAGTGAACTTTGCCAATGTTAGGAGGTTATTTGCTTCTAATCCATCAGCGTCCTTTTTGCTTGATTTCTTCCTTTTCATTATATACTGTGCAATGATTTTGATAGTTTATAAGTTTCCAAATTGATGTTGCTAAACAATCCTATGTACCATGGTTCTCAATTCAACTCAGTTTCGCTCATGGCTTCGCTGATCGAATAATGAACGTTTAGGTCGATCTCATCGGGAACTCTATGGGCCTTATACGCTCCGCTGTTATTGGAGTCCACAGGAGCATATAAATTTTTGTAATCGGAGTTTTACGGCCTAGCATTGAATTCTGAGCTGCTTGGATAGATGATTGATCCGGCTTAAAAAGTTGAGAACTTTGGATATACCCTCGGAACTTGGCTATCCGAACGTAGGTCCGTTAAACTTTTTCGATGATGATAAGTATGTCTATCGAAGAACTTGCCGCGAAATATTTCTTTGATTTCATAAAGGTGTATTGCGTCTTTTTACCTAGTGGTGTACCGGTCGCCTTAATGGCCTTGTTATTTGCTATACATAATAGCCGACCTGCTGCGGTTAGTTTAAGCTTCTTCGATTTGATTTATAAATGAAAACTAATTTTTCTCATCAATGCCTGTATTTTTTATCCTTGCTAACTCGCCCGGTAATGATATTCCCTGTTCTCATCCCTCGTAACAGAATCACCCTCGACAAACACAGTGAGTTTCTTAAAAGAGACTTGATCGTCGAAGATCTCACAGTTTTCTGACATAATTGGTGTCATTCTTTTATCTTGCGCAAATCGGTTGTAGTTGTTTCTCGATCGTCAGGAGTCACAAGCACATGTACGTAGACTGTATGAACAATTTGGCTGCCAGTTTTCTCACCAATTGCTTTCTGCTTTCCGAATTGAAAGCTAATCGGTTTCACAGGAGACCGTATAACTGTTTCACGCGTCAGCATCAAAACAGAGCTGATCACTGCCAAACGCACAGTGTGTAGATTTGATCTGTACTACGAATAAGTAAATCTGCTTGAGAGAGGTGAGGTGAATCTGATTTGATAACAAGTGACAACAGCTACCCCATCTGCGTCACTTCCAACAGGATTATTCAGTACAAGTCAATCATAACCGTAGGAAACATTGTCAATCTTCCTACTCAAGTAATAAGTGCGAGTGATTCGTGAAGTTTTTCCGCCGTTATTCGTGCTTGATGATATCAGTTTATTTAACTGCCTCATTCATTTATTGCATTATAAATTCATTTCTCAAATGTACCAATCTTCTTTGCGTGAAACTTGGTAACTTTTCAAACTTTTACAGCGAATGTCACATGGATTGGTAGTGTCCGGACATTCGTTTATGAACGCCTTGTAATTTGTCTGTTATTGGATTAAGTTAATTATTTCCAAATGTTACAAAACTATGGAATGATGCTAGGTGATGAAAGGACGGCAGAATCTGTTAGTGACGGTAACCTGTCGGATTGTTGTACCAAGTACCTCAGACAGGTTCTTAACACCAGTCTTTTATCCTAACACACAACCACTATTGTTAGCACAGTCCCAGTGTATTCGTCATTGTGCAATACAACCTTATTAACCCTACAGCTCCTACAGGACTCACGTCTGAGCAGATCGGACTCTCGTGAAAGTCGATCACCCGCTCCGAGCGACACAGAGGTGCAATTGCTTCCACAACTTCCCAATCTGATCGCAAAGAAATTCATCCCTTTCAGTGAGTCTCACTGAGTGCTTTTGACTTCATATCAGTACATCTTCAGCAATTTAATTTAGCAGTTCTTTATTTATCTACTTTCTCACTGTCCCATTTAATGTTCTACACTTGCAACTAAGGCACACAATTACAGCTTCCTACTTCGACGTCGCTTTGTCATATTACGACCTGGTGTTCTTTACCAATCCACTTCCCAAAGTCTACATAATCTACATAATGTAGAATCCTAGACATAGCTTAACGCTTTAACGTGTGATTGATGCATGGCATATGGTTCCGATTCTAAGTGTTTCAAAGTGATCTTTCATCACTGTGTAGCCAGTTTTAAGCTTAAAGACCATTCACATCAATGGGGTTAAGAAAACAGCTTATTCGGTTTTCCTGGTGGAACGATTTTGTCATTCCGTGAAGTAATCTCTCATACACGAACAATTGACCATTGTCCTTAACTAGCCAAAAACACCTTGCAGACTACATTTGTCAACGAAAATACTTACATTCTCAGAATAAAATGCTTGAGCATTCGGTAAAATGATTTCCCTTGCTTCACTAGCACTCAAAATCATCAATTATTAGATTGACTTTGTTCAGAAGAACTTGTGTCTAACTAGTGTTTCTTTTGTTATCCTAATGAATTAAACTTTGCTCCGTCGTTAGTACTGATGTAACTCACCAATCGACTTTTCTTGATAGAATCTCAGCGACCTCCATCAAAAAGTATGATGGAAAGTAATTATCAACTTCGGCGCAGTCAGCGTATCCGAGCTCCCGCCGTGTCCGACCCGCACCTTCGTGTCGTTCGAGACTACGTTATTGGGAGTGATGGATATCCATACCAAGTTCCTATCGGTATCCAAATAGAACCGACAGAAGAGGAACTTACAAGGTACCGACGAAATCAGAAACGCTTGAGACTCCATAACGAATATCAAAATAACCCGGATCGGCTGCAAAGACTGCGACAGGACCGTGTGAAAAAGCTCCAAGCTTTAGCCAGGCGGTACCGTCGTTCTACAGGCCGTGAGTCTCCTGTTTACTTTTACAAGAATTCGGATAGTAGTCAATCTTTTAGACTCATTTGAAATGCAATTCACGACAGTATTTAAAGTTTGAATAATCTTCAGCGCTTGCGGATATTTTTCATTGTTTTTGTACTAGCGACGCAACCAAACGGTTTATTCATTCCTTCATCTAATACCCCAGCGTAGAATAGATTAAAAACCATTTTCAGGTGCCCGCGCATTTTGTAGCACGTGGTGTGCTTCACTCGAACTACGATATCACGAAACCGAGTAACCTTTGCCGTTGAAACAATCGATGATTGCTGCATCTGAGTGTGACGCAAAATTTGGCAAGAGAAGTCTGGGACAGTTGTCAACGTGAAGTAACANAAGTAACACCGTAAAGTCATCACGACGTTCCATTCCTTTTGTACACCCATCAACTTCGCGATTTTCTTGCTGTCTGTCGGTCACCCATTGGTTTACGTAATGGTCATGAAGTAAACGAAAGAAGCTAAAATCAGCGCAATTTTATCGTATTACGTAACTGTTATCTCCTAGTAAATACCAACAATTGCACAAAATCACCTGCCTTTGCAGCATCCAGCGATTCCAAACAGTGGTCACCCCGAATTCGCCTGGATCAAGATATTTCGTGGGCTCAGCAAGGACAGCTTACCATACAAATTAATGATGACCTCGGAGTGAGGGACATACGTGAGTTCCGCACTTGAGTGATGGTTTAACTTTGAAAAAAGAACTGTTTGCACCATTTTTCACTTTATAATTCCTAACTTTGCGTTATGGTTTTCAGACCCCCGTTTGATCGATGAACGAAATTATTCCCGTTTGAGTAGTCATGTGAGTACAAAATAGCAGACAAGCTTGTTTTTGGTGCTACATCAACTGGCTCGATACAGCATAATTTATGATAGATTAAACAGATGGGGAAAGTAGACAAATGTCTGCGAAGGAAATCAGCGTTTAAAGGGAGATGATAGACTTGTGATAATTGAGGTTTGTGAGTGTGTATGCGTAGAAAATGGAAGACAGGGTGGTTGTGAATTGGTGGGTAGGTGGATGAGTGAGAGTTAATGAACGGTTACGTCACCAGATTTTTGGTGGATGGCCAAGTTCAGAATTTCGTCAACAGCCGAGGCCATTGCCATCCGCTNCCCCCCCCCCCCCTTGTGAGCCCGGAAACAGTTTGTAAGAACATTGGTTTTACCATGGCACATCATTGTTCGATAGACTTATACCGATGCGCGAGGTTCTCGAACTACGGAAATCCTGCAGTAGCTGAATCTTCTCCAATTGTAGTACTAACCATAGCAGTTTGACAAATGTTGAAATTTTGATGCACCTTATGAATTCCCTAATCGTTTCATTAATCCCAGAGAACATATTCAAAACAACACCGTGGCGAACAAGCTCGTTTTCAGATATTCGTAATCATGCCATTACATAACATTAAATATGACTAACTATAAGAAACGAAACAGGGGATGAGAAAATTCGAGTCCTAATGATTCAGCTGTGGCTCCAATCATGCGTGCGTGTTTGTGTGAAAA